GTGGTTTGATTAAAAAGGGCGTTATTCACTTAACTTAATAATGTAATGAAATATGGCTACTCGACCGTGTTATCGCTCTATTGGATACGCCTATTAAATTATTCGCTTCTATACAGTGCGTTTAGCCGTGTCAGTCGTTTAATTTGTCGACCCTTTCGTCACTTTTGTCGCAATATTTAACACACCAAATCCTAGTACAAAAACATCGTCGGTAACTGCTTTATAAAACTTCCTATATTTGTTTTGAGTATTCAAAAAAAAAAAAAATTAATAATTAAGCACAATTTTCACTCTTGTGCTCTTCGTGCTGCGCATTTGTTTGTACTTAACCTTCCAGTATTCTTTTTCTTATCAAAAACCAATACTTAATGTGTTCGGTTAGGTTATGAAACCAAAAAGGCTTTACGAGATGCCCAAGTTAAGTTAGTTGAGGCAAACAGAGTTGTGCAAATTCATAGTCGAATAATTATTCGAGTACAAACTTATTCGAATAAAAAATTGTTGAATATGTTTTTCTCAATTTATTCTAAAATTATTTGAATAATCTTTCATTCGAATAATTAATTTAAAATTATTTGAATAATCTTTCATTCGAATAATTTAATTTAAAATTATTTGAATAATCTTTCATTCGAATAATTATTTTTTTAATTATTATTCGAATAACTTTCACTCAAATAATATATTATCTAGATGATTTTTTAGATAACGTCGTATTCGAATAACGCACAACTCTGGAGGTAAGGTTATGTTGATGGTGATTTAAGATCTAGGCAATGTTAGGTTAGGTTGGTTTTGCATATTCCATCTTTTATTCATATATACTTAAGTAATATATTTTGTTTCTATTAATAGCCTGTGGACGGGTACAGATACAAACAACAACTGATAGTAATCGCTTCCATTTGTGTATGTCGTGTGGTATACTGTATACAGAGTGATCCATCTGTATGAGTATCTTACTCGGAAAATATAGATATTTTGAAACTTTCACCCCCTATACTCGTAGGTAGGTACATATTTTTTTACAAGGCCACACACGAAGGGGCGGTAGGATAGGTTGAGTATATTATAATATCTATTGCGTTGCATAGACACTATGTTACATGCTGTAAAAACCAAGTGACTTCCGGCGCAACTATGTACAATAACAAAATATATAAACTAAAGATAATAACAGCACTGGAGTAGCTAAACTCATACCGCAGTGTCTGCCAGTGTAGTAAGTACATTTTGTGCCGGACAGATGTTAAACAGTTCAATAAAAAAAAAGAAAAAAAAACTGGAACATTAATAATTGAAATAACAGTTAAATATAATTGACTCAACTGTGAACGAGTTGATGACTTGACCAATAATATAATATCTATTCTTTGTAAAGAATTTTAATTTAAACAAAGCTGGTCACTATGATAACTTTTGTATACTAAACGAATCTATGAAAACTCTGCGCTTACTAATCACCAAAAAAAATACATGTTATTGCCAAAAAAACGTTTGCAGAGGTTTATTTATACTGTTTATACGAAAAATTGCTTAAAACAGTTGTAATGGTACATTTTTTTTTTTTTTTTTGTGAAATATTCAAATTACTTTTGGGTTGCTTCATGTTATAATAGGTATATAATATTGTTGTTATCACTGACTGACATTGTGTGTGCTATAATATTATGGGATATAGTGTAATAATATCATACTGTATGCTCTCAATTATACAGACTAGTGACCTAAATTTCAAATCATTAGATTACAACATAATTATTTTGTATAATAATTCCTGTGCAATACATATTTTTTTACAATACGTTGATAAAACTACAAACGTCATTTTTTTCTGTATAGAATTAATATAATATCGTATCGCGTTAGACTAACAATTTGTTCGCGCTAGCAGGTTCAAAACCACATACCTATCAATGTGTTTTTTTAATTATTATTATACACACCTTTTACCTTTTCGACTCGTTTTTTACAGACGTTTTACCGCATATACTGTTTGCTCCCGGTGTGGTTCTTATCGACTTGCATATATGTATATAATATATATAAAGGATATTTTTTGTAGAAAATAATAATAATACAAGTTTATCGCCGGCAACAACACCGCCGCTATTATGTCTGTACACTAAACGACGTTAATTGATACATTGTGCAGCTGCTAATTAACCTACATTATTATAATTAATATTATTATTATTATTATTATATACATGTAACACACATATTATTGTATCATTATTATAATAATATATCAGTGAAGCAATATATTGTAGCGCAGCAATAGGCGATACTGAACGAAAAACGCATTCAAACTTATATTGTGTATGTATAAAAATTAGTTAAATTATCCGAAAAATAAACTACTTGAAAAATCTATAAATTTGATCGCGTTTTGGCTGCTAGATGCAGCTTATCTTATATGTTAGTCGCATAACATATTATGTAACTAGTTGGGTCCAAATAGACCAATCTTACATTTTGTTCACTAAACATCCAAAAGGTTTTAACAAAGCACCACGAATGTTACCATAGTGAATAAATAAAAATAGTCCAAATATTTTATTATGAATTTAAAAGTATAGCTAGTTGAACTTTTACAACATTCTGTAACGATACATTTTATATCTAATCAAAACTCAAAAACATTCAACTCTGAATGTTTGAACATCATTTTTGTTCAGTAACATAATGTTAAAAAGTCAATCATGCATTATATTTCAAACAGCAAAGCTGTAATAAGACTGTATTCCAAAAATCCTATCAAAGAGATATTTTTTTGTTCATTATAAACATTTTAGTAAAATATATCTATACATATAAACGTAAACGACTGTTAGTACATAAGTCTACCCTTCAACAGATCAAGCTTAAATTTTCAGTAAATATTTGTGTTGTTCCAAAGAAGGTTTTTGTGCCAACGGACCTTGCAGAGCGAGCAGCTAGTTTTATACACAAAAAAAAAACATGATTTTTTTTATAACATACTAGAAATTACTTGACCTTTGAAAAAGGAACAGGCGGAGTTATTGTAAATTTATGTAATAGCAATTTTTTTAGAAGAAAAATAGTAGGTAATAATAATATATTTTATCTATTATCATGGATTTGTTATTTACAATATATGTATACATATTTTTCATGCTAAGATATATTTAATTTAAAATTATTCAAAACCGTATATTTTATATTATTGCTTAACATAAAAAGGTTTATAAAGCATGGTTTCACAATAGCCTATTATATTTTCATCGGTTTTAAAAAAATATCATAATAAATTCAAGCAATCCAAATAGATAATATTCTAGCTGAAAATGTTTTTTTTTAATTTAACAAAAGTATTGTTGAATTATGGTCTAAATTACCTATAAATTAATAGACTATGCCCAATTAAATTTAGATAAATGAACTACTTAAATGTTAAAATTAAAAAAAAAAATGAGCATTGTTCATTTTTATAATATTATAGTTTTGACAAAAATCAATTTTCAAGTGCAATCGACTAAGGTATTTTTTAGGGAAGCCTTGTGACCAACAGTTCCTTCTCATTGGTTCTGAACTTATGTATATAAACGGTTTTATTAAACCATCGTTTAATTTAACAATATTTTATTTCCAAATAGATAACCATGTTTTGTTTTAAAATACAATTTTATTAAGTCAATCGCGATTTTTATTGGATTCCAATGCGAATTAGATTTAAAATAATTTAATTTCAGGCAATCAAAAATGTATTACTTTATTATTGTTCCTAACCGGACCGTTTAGGCGACATTATTATAAATTTAAATATTTCCATTGAATTTTGGGTATAAGTACCTAAATAAGTTATAGCGATTAAACAGAACAGACGTGGTAATTTATTATAAATTGTCTTATGTTATAAAAAAAAAACAGGTAATAATAATTAACGTTTGACTGCGGTGTACGATTCGTGAACTGTGTCCGATAAGAGATAACCTGTTATACAACTCGAAAATTATCAAAAGTATAACTACTCATATTGTAATGTGATCATTAATGATGATTTACAAAAATATTAAATAAAAAAAAAAACAAATAATTTATAAATAATATGTTATAGTATGATTACAAGCACCGTCTAATATAAGTCGAATTTTTCCCATATATTTAGAAACAAGCTGCTTATAATAATATATTGTTATATTATTGAAAACTATTTTAATACAACTATTATTCATTTTTTTACAATCATCATTATTGTTTTTGAGTATACTTAGTGTATTTTGTGTGAACTAAATAACTTGTTGTTGGGATCTACTTTGGGAATTGCAGACCCCTCAAAACCTCGTTACCTCCCACAGAAGTCTAAAAACGACATTACTGTACTATTTGGTGTTAATTACTAGCAATAAGCAAGTAAAACAGGAATATAATGGTACTATATTATGTCATATACCTTTTGGAACACGGTATTAAAATATATTGTCCATGGAACTAAATGTTTATATCTTTTCAAAACGCAAGATCTTTTCATGACTTTTTTTTAAAACTTGTACTCTTCTTGCAAGTTCAAACTTAATTTAACCTATCAAAATATCTCACTCTTAACCATTTACTCGTTATTTATTGGAATTGTTGACTTTGTAACCATTTTGAAAGTGCAATGACAGATAGGTAGGTAGTGTTTTTTGGTTACAAAGGAATATTTAAAAAAAAGGGCAACCAAAACGGGGGGAAAAAAACAAAACATTCGATCGCTTCGCATCAATATTATTATTTATTAGCTGCCTTACTAATTATATTTCATCCGAGCCTAGTAACTGTATCAAGGTACTCCTTAAATGTAATGTCAATCATTTTTCGCATGACAATGGCAGCTAATATGTGCTACCAAAAGAGTAACAGTTAACTTGTATACTTTTTTTTAAAAAAAGGGTGAAGGAGGAAAATAGGGAGTTTCCCCCACACGGGCTTAACCACCCCCGAGAGACTTTACGACTATTTTTATTTTAGTGTATATGTACAAAAATGAATCTTACCTCGGTCCATTCGTCGTATGAGCTCCTTGGATTCAGTCGGCGACCATCACCGGCGGTTCGTTTGCGGTGTAGCAGCTATCCTCAGGTCACTGTAATCTGATCCGGTTAATCCTATACTCTGTCACTCTGTCTCTTGATCGAACCGCGTCGAATGGATTTAAATAAAAATGTTTTAAAAATTTAAAAACCAACAGTAATACTATAATTTTGTGTATCCGACGTTAACAATAATTATTGCATTAGATAAACGCACCGGTGGCGGGTAACCGACTAGCAGAGCGGTTTCCCTGCCAGCCCGTCGGAGTCAGCGCACTCGGCCCGGCGGTAGGACGGACCCGACCAGATCCGCCCACCTCGCCCAAATGTTCCACCAATAACAATACACCAGTGTGTACCGACCGAATGCCCCTCTATAAAATGTTAAACCCTCGTACAATATCGTGTACACGTCTATAAAGGTATTGTATCCCGTAAGTAGCAATTGGTATACACACACAGCCCAGCCCAGGCTATGGTTTACTCGTTTAGAGGTGCAGTATAATAGCGCACTATTATAATTATATCGTGCAGCAGAAAATCGAAAACGCGCACAGTTGACTCGACAAAGAACAATATTATGTGTATGTGTAAAAGAAATAAGACTATAAGATTTTATAATATAACAAAAAATATAGAGTAAATTATTTGGTTTTATTTTGTCTTTCGTTGACTGTCTTGGTGTCCAGACTATTTTAATCGAACGTCAACTGTCCATAGGACAAAATATATTAACTGTGGAAGAAATAGTTTATGAGTCCACATTTAACGTTGTCATTCACATGTCTGAAAAATAACCAATTTTTTTTTCTTCTTTTTACACTGTCTGTACTCTGTACCTACTACGCTATCAAGTATATTTATTTGTATAATATGTATCATATTGTATACAAAACTAGAATGTCCTCTCTCTACTCCACCACAAGTTACATGCTTACAGGAGTATTATATTTATATATTTATATGTATTATGTTGTAACATTGCATAATTATATGTATTATAATATATAAATTGTCTTCAATAAAAAATTTAAAAAAATTATAGCTTATCCTTTTTAAGGAGGCGGCCTTATGTATATTTTATTTTCAATGAAACTGTGATCATTATTTTTTTTTTTTTTTAGAAAACGAGTGCAATTATTATTTACAAGACGATACGATGATTGAACTGAACTACTTTAAAGTGTTTTTTTTTTTAATTTAAAAATTAAATATCTAACGAAATTGCGGTTTTTCAATAAACGTTATATAAAAGTAGAAGGTATGTGCCTATTATGTTTACTAACAGTTGTTTAATTTTTTAACTAGGATTAAACAAATTTAATCATATCCGTATAGTTTGTCAATTTCAAATTGAGCTATCAAGGATATGCGGATACTTATGAAATTTGGACTTTAGTCTCCTTCTCATCACACTATTTAGTAGTCTGTTTCATTGTTGCCAAGGATATATTGTACTGAATGTTCTACACCACTTGACTTGTTTTAGCAAATTATTTCCTTTTAAGAACTTGACAAAAATTAATAGGTTGGTAGTAGTTTTTTTTTTTAATTGCTACCAATAGTTTTGGTTGTGTATATATTATTTGATTCTCTTCGTAGAATATTTAAAGAAAATTGTTGATTATTTGACAAAACAAATTAATATTTATGTCGAACCGACAATTATATTATTTTAGGAGCTGAGAAGGTATTGATTCTTAAATGATTTGTGCATGCTTTTATCCACACTAGCCCTCAAACCCAAATTTTGACAACCCCCCGCCATCCATGCAATGAATTTTATCCATTCTATAGGAAAACTTTAAAAGAAGTATGAGTTTTCAGTTTTTTTCAAAGATTATCCAAAAACATTTTAAGAGTTTTTTATTCGTCCCAAAATGATGGTGTGCTATTTTTGAAACAAAAAAATTGTTTTATAAGCTTGAATTTAGTAAGTTATTATTATTTTTTATTTTTGGAATTCACACAGCCGTTGAACATTTTATATCAACTAATACAAGTTAAAGTTTAAGGTATTTAGTCTTTCATGCAAGATTTTCGTTTGTCAATTAACATAAACAGATTTAATTTAAAAACTATAATTTTTATTACACATTTTCTGCAATCACATAAAACATGTGAAACCTGAAATGCGAAAATCCAAGTAAAACAATTTAATGTATTCGAATTACATGTATAATATATCCCAAACAATATATCCATTCTTGTTAAATTAGTACATATTAATAGTACTAATAGTATATTATATCTAAACAATTTTGTGTTGTATTAGACTAATAAAATAAAAACCACTTTATAAACAATATTACAGTTGACACGACGTTTTATCTATTATTTACCTTATTTTACACTTATAATATACACACACCTATGTATATGTTATATTTTTCAGATTTTTAGGTACCTATTTTGTGCCAGTTTTAGTCAATCTCAGCTGGCGCACTTTTTAACTAAAATATGTAAAACACGGTCGGACCGAAATTAAAGAAGTTTTGACCAATCAAAATAGTTTATTTTAAAGTAACTGTAAAGAACATTATTATTGGCACATTTAATTACAACTATAAGATTTTCGAGGCACATTAAGTACATGTGTTGGACCGTTTACTTGTTCCTATTGTGATATTATAATATTTGTTCGTTTCACTTTAAAAAAATATGATTATCCACAAAAAAATCAAGTTCATAATGATGGTGACACCCGTGGTCCCGGTTTGTTCAATTCCTGTTCAATATTTTTATTTGGAAATTCGTTAAAATTGCTCAGATTATTATATTATAACAGTGTCGCACCAAAATTAACATGCATATTAGGTGTATACATAGCGTTTTGGCAAAAAGTCTTAAGAGTTACATATGAGTTTTATATGCCAATTAAGATCTACATTAAAAAAAAAAATTATAATAATAGTAAACTTTACACGCTCTTACTATTATACACACATAAGAGATAGTATTTTTCGAGTAGGTGCACATCAAACGGCCCGGAAACGTCACTAGAGTCATTTGCATTACTGTGGTCGGTATTTTATAACCTCGTCGTCTTAGTAATTATTGTATTTATAGGTATAGTGAACACTATTAAAACTTGATAGAACGTGTCACACTCAAAACTCGCCGCAAATGCAACAACTATTGTTAGAATTGTTTATTTTCGCGTTAATATAATATATTATATGTGATTAAAGACAAAAATAAAAAAAAATAATTAAGTGTCCCGCTGTTAAAAGCCAAACACTATGTTGAAAATAAAATAAAAATAATTTATCAATATTATTATCACAAAACATGTTTTACAGTGCCCGGTTTTAACACTCGGCCAAACAAAAAAAATAGTTTAAAACATAAAAATAACAAGTCATAACACACAGGCCACAGCCTGTCATAACCTACACAAGTTGAAACTGTTTTTTTTAAATATTAAAAACAAATTGCGCATTTTACATTTGATAAAAATTGGATGTACCCGCCAATGGTTCCCTACGATTAGTTCCAGAACTACATAACAAGAATAGGGCCTATCATAGACTTAGTTAAAAAAGAAATGTTCAGGTGTTTTGTATTAATTCTGCAAAAATAAATCTCACACGATCAATTTCCCTGATTTGGTATTTTATTGGTGAAAAAAAATGGTAAAATTTAATTGTACGGTGAAATTAATAGTGACAATAACTATTCTTGTTTTCATAGAATTTTTTTGCTCGTTTTTTATGATTTTGTTGGAGAAGCCAAGGTCTAACTTGGGAAGGAGTGGAAGGCTGTAGCTTTCTTGTCAATTTTGCCAAAATTACTAAGTAACAAGTAACAATGATAATACTGTAGTTTATAAATGTACAGTACAATTCCGACTGTCTTTTTCTCGGAACGCCTTCCATTATTTTCACTAAAGTTGTCTGTGATCTCTTATTTCCTTGTGCGCGTTTTTGGCAATTATTTTTAATCTAACGCATGTGAAAAACACATTTACATTGTGCATACCGACTGCACTGTGCAGTATATAAGTGCCAAAATAAACACACCAGATCTACATATTTGGCTTATATCTAATAATTTAAATCATTAAAAACTATAAATAGTCATCGGAATTTTCGGCGAAAAATAAGTTTTTTTTCAGGTTCGATGCGGAGCTGAGAAGTTCTTCGACTTACAATGATGTGTGTTTGATGATTTTTGTGTCTGTAAACTCGATAGCTTTTTTTCCTCTGGACCGATTTACTCGAGTAGCAGTTCTGTAGATACAAAATCGTACGCGATTGGTACTTGGGTCGGCCACAAGTCGAAAACGTCAACTCCTTCACTCCCGAAACCGGGAAATATTAAAATTTAGATTTTCGAAAGGTATTTTGGGTTTAGGAACATAAAACTGTGTATAAAGACTATTGTAAAACTATGCAAAATTAAAAAAAAAACGATAATTTATGGTAGTAGGTATACCACACTACAATAAAGGTAGCCCCGGTAGACGTAAAGTTGATATAAAATCACATTCAAGAAAACGCTTTGATTATGATCTATGGATGTTAGACCCCACTTTGGTAATTTCTTGCTGTGCTGGTTTTTAGCTGAGCTTAATTTAGACTGTGCTAGTTTGAACTGTGCTTGGTTTTTAATTTTTTTCAAAACTTATTTTGGTTTGTACAATTCAGTAAAAGAAATCAAATATGTTAATAGTTTTATAATAATACATAACTATAGTAATAATAATAATAATTTTATGGAAATTAAGTGATTTTTCAGATTTTACACACCAGCAACGTTGTGCCTTAGACTGTCAACTATTATACTTTTGAGAAATGCTTTTATTTGGTTTTAGGAGTTCTGTAATAAACCGTTGCTCGCCATTGTTTTCGGCAGTAGTCTGTTTGAATTTAAATGTCTTAAAAAAAGAACGTTTTCATTGCTAGAATTACTTAAATCATTCTTACTGATCATTCTAGTTTGCAAGTAAACAACCAATTCCATCATCACTTATCAACGAGCCCATTTTAAACTAACTTATAGAGTGTCAAAAGTATTTTAAATTGAATAGCTTGTATATTTTTTTGGGTGTTTATATTCGATTTTTATAGAGAGTCGCATGAACTTCTATATTTGATAATGTACAAACCCGAGATTGGAAGAAGAAATTTTCCTTATTTCCTTACTTACTTTCCTCTTTGATGAAGCAAAAATTTAAAAAATCAATAATTCCTCAGTTCTATATGGGAGCTAAAATT